ACTTCTCTCACCATAGCCCTGATTACTCCCACCATAACCCCCATATTAAAAGGTCATATTAGACCCTCTTAATATTACTCTCATGGCATTCTGCACATATTATCATTAACTTGATTATCTCTTTGCATAATTATTATTTTGTTACATCTACCTGATGGCAGGGACAATGATTCTTGTTGACATCAGCCTGGCACAGAGTAGGCAACTGTTCACATTTGTGAAGTGCTGGAAATATCTTCATTCTCAATGGATAAGCAAAACCCTTATTAAACAATAAATCTGATCTTATGGGCTTTAATTTGTAGAGTTATTAGCCTTACTCCATAACAACAAAACATCATTGCAGTAAAGCAACCAAAAATAAAGAGAAATCAGTCCAAGATTTAAAATTAGAAAAGTAAAATCATTTTCTACAAGCATCTCTCCAAAAACACCTTTTCTGGTTTTAACACAGAATATCATGAAATTAAGAAATGCTTCCAAAATTCCCCACAGATTTGTCTTTAACACAAACACATACCAATCAAAAGCTTATCCTTTCTTTACTTTCCACAGACACCAAAGAACACGGCAGAAAGCCAACTTTTAGAAATAAACCCAAATAAAAATAAATCTTCCAGTAAGATTCCTCAGCAATAAAACCGTAAATGCCATTCCCGCTTATATCTAGTATAATGTCAAGCTTCAATCCACTTAACATCAAAATTAATCAGGTTTAATGCTTTTTCTAGAGTGACATCTAACAATCTAGGAACATACCATTTTTTTTTTTTTAAGATTTTATTTATTTGCTTGACAGAGAAAGAGAGAGCACAAGCAGGGGGAGTGACAGGCAGAGGGAGAAGCAGGCTCCCCGCTGAGCAGGGAGCCCGATGCGGCACTCGATCCCGGGACTCTGGGATCATGACCTGAGCTGAAGGCAGTCGCTTAACTGACTGAGCCACCCAGGCGCCCCATACCATTTTAAGTAAACACACACACAGCCCAAAGTTTATCAGTATACTTCAAATCTTTATAAGGTACAAGTAGGAAAGAAAATCTCACATTGGTCTACAGAATAATTATAAAGAAAATGCAGTTGATTACAACTAAACACAAAATATCCAGCAATTCACTAGCTATAAACAGAAATAGTTTCAATTAGAAACTTAGAGTATCAAGAGAACCCTTCGGGAAGTTAAATGGAAATTACAAGAATATTTTCCAAAAGCAGGCCATTTCTTCATGCAATTACTTGTTTCCATTTTATAGTTGTCATACTTGTTTATCTATAACAAAACATTGCTCTGCTCTTCTCATAGTAATCAAAACAATAAAACAAAGCTAAAGAAAGAAAATGTGTCCCCCCAAACTTAAGATACTATTTTGATGAGACACAATTAGAAATATTTTCAGGTACTGCATTCTAGGAGCTTCTAATCACTGAACAGGATAAAATATGTAAGTTCATATAAAATTTAAAGCACATTAAAAATTTTTGCTTTGATCTGTGGGACAAAGACTTCATAATTCATAGACATGCATATATTTGAGGATGTCAAGAATAGGGCTGGGTGTCTTTCTTCACTACTTGAAAACTCAAACTTTCGATCATGTTCAGATTAATCAATTTTTAAAATGAATTTCCTCATTTCCAATGAGGAAAAATGCTTTTCACTGTAATGAATACTATATATTTACATTTTGGTATTTCTTAGGAGAAAAAACATGTAACATGTCTTGAGTGCATCTTTTAACTATAAATCAATTGAAATCCATTGCAATTACTATTACTACCACAGAAATAGTTCTATAGGATGACACATAGGAAGAGGGTTCTATGGTACAATTCACTTCTATAAAAAATTCAACACAAAGAATATTTTATTTTTTCAACATAGTGTTATGTATTGGTGAGGTACTGAAATGCAAAGAAAAAGAAAATGAATTCATCCAAAAGAGCATTTACATAAATTTCAAGAGTAACGAAAGACCACTGGCTGGAGGTATAAAATTCATCCACTAATCAGGATCAACAGGGAAAATCAGAATAGCAGATAGTTTAGAAGAAATCAGTGGAAGTGTTGGTCAGAAAACATTACATTGTTGCTTTATATGGCGAATAAGGAAAATCGTAGAAAAAAGAAAAGCATTTATTAAAATAAAGACAAAAAGAAAATATTCTATGCCATGGATGACAAATTTGGGGCTTGTGTGTTAATGCTTATCAGTGCCCTAACAGATGTGACTGATCAATCAATGGACTCTTTGTCGCTGATCCTGGAATCTTTCTCAATACACAACACAGAAAGCCACTACCAATCACTGAAAATTGGCACTGAAATCTATTTGTCAAACCTGCTCTCAGTGATATTGTTTAAGTTATTCAATCAGGAACCTTCCCCACAGGCAAATAGTACAGGAATAGGTACAACCTTCTAGAATATGTGCTCAAGCAAGGGTTGACATTCAAAAATTTGTGAATGCATAAAAATTCTTAACAAGGAAAATGGAAAAATAACATTACAGCAGGTAATGTTATGATTCGGTGAGTGGGATAAGTTTTTAGAGGCTATCTCTACAACTTAGAATCATTTCAATTCTGATGACACAGCATTTAAAAAAATACAGTCATTCATTTGCAAGAAAAGCAATCGCTACAAAAGTAGCAAGAAATTGAAACAATTCCCTCAACCAGGAGGCAACGGAAATTAAAGACTGGTACTGGTAACTGACAATTAATTAAGTAGTTTCAATGCGGTTTATTCATTGTAATTTAAAGCTATAGATAGTCTAATGATTTGAAAAATAAAATCTGAGACAAAATAAGTAACTACAGTAGAGAATCTGGTGCCTGAAGTAGCTTTAAAACCTGAGCAGCCAAAATTATAGATTTTCTATAAATGAAGAACAAAACCCTTCATTGTTACTTTTAACAAAACTGTTTTCTTCTAATGAAATTAATAATAATGCAATTCTTGTCCAAAATCAAATACTTTTTAAAAATCTTTAAAAATCAGAGAAAGACAATTATTACATAGTCTCACGCATACGCAGAATATAAAAAACAGTGCAGAGGACCGTAAGGGAAAGGAGGGAAAACTGAATGGGAAGAAATCAGAGGAGACAAACCATGAGAGACTCTCGACTCTGGGAAACAAACTGAGGGTTGCTGAAGGGGAGGGGGGTGGGGGGATGGGGTAATTGGGTGATGGGCATTAAGGAGGGCATGTGATGTGATGAGCACTGGGTGTTACACCCAAATGATGAATTGTTGAACACTACATCTGAAACTAATGATGTACTATGTGTTGGCTAACTGAATTTAAATTAAAGAAAAAAACCTGAATTAAAAAAAATAAAATAAAAATATCTTATTATAATGTGATTTGATCTCTAGTCATAGAAAGTAAAACAAAAATACAAGGACAGTGGCTAAGTTTTAGTTTTCTTCATTTCCAGAAATACAATATCTCTACTGAAAGGTATTTTAAAATATAGGTGACCATTGAGCTATATTGGAAACACAAGCCATGATTTCAGTTTTAGAATAAAATTGAAAATGTGGCAAAATTTTTTGGAAAATTAAATAATCAGTTTGATAAAGCAGACAGTTAGCCAGACATCAGCAGGTAACAGCTATTTTCGTCTGTTAAGAAGGGTGGAAACCAAGTTTCAAACAGCCAGGGGGCACACGCATGTACTCTTCCCTGTAAGTGCTGCCCTACAATAACCTATAGCTTCATGAGAACACATTTGCATTGTGGTCTTGACTACCCCCTCCCACTCCCCTTGCAGGGGGATGGCTCTGTGACAGTTCAGATAAGGGCCATATAGGACCAAAACTCCCCCTCTCTATTGTAGGAGGAGACCTTAGATGATTGGAGGCAACCCTAGTCAGAGACCAGCCCATAACTCTTGCGAGCATAAAAAAGAAAGACCACCCTGGTCCCTGGTGCAGTTGCCGTCTCTGGGTCTGCCTGCTCGTCCACCTTGAGAGTGTGCTTTTGCTTTCATTGCTATTAAACTCTTTTTCACTTGAGAGTTTGGCTCTAAATTCTTTCTTGGCCCAACTCAAAAATGGAGACAGGGGGTGGGGGGTGGGGCAGATGGGACATCTGAGATCAAATCAATATATATTTCAGGTGAAGGTACTTTTGTTCTGCTATATAATTACACATTATACAATTTTACCAGAATGTTAAATCAAAACCTGCATAATGAAATACATCAGAGAAAAACAAACATCAATAACTGAACCAATTTAGATAAAGTCCATAATAGTTCAATCTGACAATGAACTCTGCCCCATGTTAAATAGTATTACCTGCTGTTTCCAGTGAATAAAAACTGCATCAATGCCCCCACTTCATTTTGCTTAGGTACACTTAGCCATATTTAGGATCTCACATGAATTCAGCAAGACATCTTAAGTTGTACCGACATTTAGCAATAAAGAACATTTTCAGCTACAAGCAACTAAAACCACAATCTATAAAAGCATTACAACCAAGTCACTGCTCTTAAAGTAATTAGACAAGTTTTCTAAATCTCCCTTGAAATAACTATTATGCTAATATCTTCTACCCTTGGCCAATTCACTGTCATGAATTGTTGTTTTACTATTAGGCTCTTCCAAGACTTTTTAAGTAATTTCTTCACAAAATGAGAATAGGGAGCAGATGAAACAATCCTATTTGGCTATAAGACTGTAGCTGATTATGTGACTAACTTGTGGTACATCTTATCAATATGTCATTCATGATTATAATACAACAGATTTTAATCAGGAAGTAGCTCATTGTCTAATGAGGTGTACTTATCTCAGGTAAGAGAAAACAAATGTTTCTATAAACTATATAACCAACTATCAAAGAAGGCTTTCCCACAAAACACGAAAACCAACAAGAAAATATGTAAGTTTTATGAAAGAACTTCATTGCTATATTGCAGCAAATATGTCACTTCTCTAGCGTTCTGTTGATACAACCAGAAAATGTTTAAAAAAATGTCCTCCTTACCTGTGTATACAGTTTTTACTCTCGAGATAGGACATACCAGAAGCAGCATCTAATGAAAATTTCACTAATTGTTTGAGCTTTATTTCATCCTTCTTCTTTCTCAGAAAGGACAGGAAATCACCTCCTAGAAGAATTGACAGATGAACAATGAAATATCATCAGGATGTACTGCCTATTAGAGATACCTGACAAAACTGAAAGAATTACACATTCGACCATGCTTTCTGCCAATTTTGTTTGAGGTGAGGATAAAGCAAAAGATGAAAGAACACATCTATTAGAAAACAGATACCATAAACTTACCCAGATACAGTTTAAGTAATTTAAGTGCTTCACACTGTGTATTATCCAACACATGATAATACTCAAACAAAATCATACAATTCCTCTGTTGCAATTTCTCACCGATTTACCTGGCCCAAATTTTCTGTGAAATTTTATTTTCTCTAATACCAAATAAAAGATTATAACTATTATGAGTTTAAAATGTAGATGAGATCAAATTAGTTATCAGATTCAGTGACTGCTTATGATAATTAAGTCACTGATGGTAGAGCCAGAGGGGGGGAGCTATGGTTTTGATAGGATTTAATTGCTGAGCCAGATTGCATTTTGGGCATCAAATGGATTTCAGTGATGTCTTAGAGCAACTCTTTAAATCAGCATGGTCCAAAAGAAATGTAACACACAGTAACTTTCAATTTCCTGGTAGCCACATTTGGAAAAGTAACAACAAAAAGGTGAAATTCATTTTAATAATATATTTTTTCTGTAGCCCAATATATCCAAAATATATTATACCAGTATGTATCATTACAAAATTATAGTGGAAATATTTTACATTTTATCATCCTAAGTCTTCAAAATATGTTGTTTATTTTACATTTTGTGGGACATTTCAAATATTTGATCTTATTTAGATTTCATAAATTTATGGTTGAAACAGAATATTCATAGGCCTACGCTGTTTCACACATGTTTAAAATTTTCTAGTAACTCAATCATATCCATTTTAAATTGAATAAAATTAAATGAAATTCACAATTCAGTTTTTTTAGAAGCACTATTGCCAAAGCTGAAGAGCCATCTATCACCCGTCACGACCATATTAAAATACTGTCGACCTTCAACTGTGCATTCATTCTTCACATCGCATTAAAGGCTATAAGAAGGCTTGATTATTCTTCCTTGTTAGTGTAGAGTGTAATTGTATTTTTTTAAAAAGTTAAATATATTAGAATGAATGTTCTCTCAAAACAATCATTCCCACTTTCTATTAGGCCCTCAGATTCTAAACCAGAATTTTGCAAGAGGGATTAGCATTTTAATTGCCATTTCCTGAATTTTGTAATCCTCTTCACCAGGGATCCAGGCTTCCTTAAATAGAACAACTCTAGAGCTGAAGACTTAATGGCTTTTTCTTTAATGAGAGTACCTGGAAAATAAACTCTTGCCTAACTCTACTTATAATGTTATCTTTCTCTAACTTCTCTTATTCACAAATCAAGTGTTAGGCAAATTTAGGTGGGCCATTTACAAAATCAACAGCTATATGCTTAAAAATAATCTTAACGGTGTCAGATAATTTCTTTTTTCTGTTCTTTTAAAGAGAATATCAAATGCATTCAATTACTAGGAAGATTATTGAAACAGTCTCCATCAAGCTTAACTTAATTTTCTGAACAAAACACACTCAAGCAACAGTAAACACCAAAATTAACCACTGATTTCTCTACTTTAATAGGTATACCAATTAAGTGGACTTGAAATCAATATTTAGTTCAAGTTATTACTTGGTCCAATATTCATATATATTAATTCTTTGTTAGATATATGTTGGCGCCTATTTCAGAAAAAGTTCAGACTACTGGTCTTGAAACCACATAGCATTTTGTTTAAGCTTTGGAATAGTTTTCAAATGAAAAGAGCTTTTCTGGAATTTGATTTAAAGCAGCCTATGACATAACCTCAGTGTTCTGTGAAATCCTAATATTTCTTTCCAAAGTTAGCTCGTATTCAGCACTTTTCCATCTGCCTCCTGTTCTTTTTTAAAATTTACTCCTTCAGTGAATCCTCCTTTACCCCTTAACCCCTGCCCCAAATGGTAAACCCTAGGAAAAGAATTGTACCTCTGCTGCTCATTATTATAATTTCAGAGGTTACCACACTGTGTCTAGCATGTAATAATACCTCAATAAACATCTCTTGAATGAGTGAGTAAAAACAATGTGTATCTCTTCTTGCAGCTTCTAAGCTTCCCATGAAGACAAGAATCATTTTCATTACTTTTTACATTTCTTCCCTAGTCCCTCTCCAGTGGTGAGAACTTTGCTTTTCAAGTACTTGTCAAATGTTAAAACAGTGTTGAGAAAAGGATATTACATTTCTTATCAATGGCACCGATGGGTGCCATAAAATTCTTTAAATTCCATCAATAAAACTTAGCGCATTTAAGAGTAAGCTCATTTTGATAGATGCTTCTTAACACTAATGTCTTAAAAACTGTATCTTTTAAAAAAATGATTTGCAAAGAAGCAATCCCTGGTAGATAAAACTGTAAAACAACAAATGCATAATATAATAAAGAAAAGACAACATTTAAATAGAATTACAAATTGCCTGAAAAGTGAAGCCAGGTCAATAAAGGTAAAGCACTAGAAAGTAGAATGACATATAGCTATTTCCAAATACTGAGACAAGCCAAAGATACAGACGAAGGATTGTCTGACTGCCTCTTAGTTAATCCAACAATATTTCTGCCTTAGAGAAATTTCTTGCTTGAAATCATTAAATTATTAAAGTAAATTTTAAATTTATTTCCAACTCATAGTTAGTTATTCAAGACACAGACAGAATGATCTTAAGTAAAGGAGGAAAGCTGCACCACCCCACAGCCCTAGTCAGCTTCTTGCAGAACACTGCAGAGAAGCAAAGACTTCAATAAAAGTTAAATAATTGTGATTCAGTACTGAAAGCCTGAGCCTTGGGCAAGTGCAAGCAGTAAGAACCCAGAAGCAAGAAGTAAACTCCCCAGGGGACAGAGTATGAGACTAGCAGTAGGTTACCCAGGAAATAATTCAGACTGGGCCAGAAATGTTCCCCTAGGCACAATACTTGATTATTACCATTAAGTGAAGAACAATTGGAGAGTGACATCAGATGACAGAGTTTTTAGTATTCACTGTCAGTTATTGTAGAGGATAGTGTCTCTTCCTTTGAACTCATTCCCCTGCCACTTTCATTAAGTGCCAAGTTAAAGAACCTCTCTTAGAATTTGTGATATACACGATCATATATACAACACATATGTTTATATGTGTACGCATGTATGTATATGTGCATGTACCATACCTGACCACTATCATAAGGATCTTGGTGTTCAAAGTGGGCAAAACAAGATATTAATTCCCGTTTTGTAAATCTGTCTCAACAAGGATTATTTCTATATAGGTACATTGTACATTAAACCAAAACAGGATGGATTATTTTCTAGAATTCTTCACCAGTGATAGATTTCTAAGACGATACTTAATATGCTTTTATAGTCAATTTTTAGTTTACTAGGGAGATAGCATGACATCATGAAAAGAGCATGGATACTGAAGTCAGACTGACCTAGGTCCAATTACCTATGTGGCCTCGGGTAAGTTAATTTCTTTTTTTTTGTATTTACTTATTTGAGAGAGAGAGAGAGAGCACAAATGCGGGGGGAGGGCAGAAGGAGAGGGAGAAGCAGATCCCCCACTGAGCAGGGAGCCCAATGCGGGGCTCGATCCCAGGGCCCCAAGATCACGACCTGAGCCGAAGGCAGACGCTTAACCAAATGAGCCACCCAGGCATCCCTAATCTTTCTAAACTTCTTTAAAACAAGGATTAATTCCATTTATTTCTCAAGATGGTTTTGAAGACTAAAATGTATCTAAAACACTAAGCCCCTGCCTAGAAAGTCATACACACAATACTACTCCTACTTCTTATTTTTGCTCAAGCTATTTTGCATCTAAAGAAGACAGGTTGTTTGTCACGTATCTATTTTCCCTTACTCGCCTCAAATTCCTGCCCTTCTCCCATTTTGGAAAGTATTCACCTCCCCCTCAACAAGAAAGGTGGCCCTAGATTGGCTTCACGCAATGAATGAAGCCCATTCCCCTGCCCAAGTGACTGGTTCAGGGATAGGCACATGGCTTAATTTGGGCCACTGAGATATAAGGAGATGCTTAAGAGGGGAAAGAAACTTTGGTTTTTGAGAGACGCACCAGGAAAGAAGCATTCTCTGCCACTGGAAGTACACAAGATAGCATGTAGCATCATGAGGACTGGCAGACTAGGGGTGAAGCAATCATCATGGAAAGCAGAAAATAGAGAAGGAAAGAGAATGGTTTCTGGCGATATGTTTGAGCCACTGGATCAAACACTGCCTCAACAGTGACTTCCTTCTAGATTCTTCAGTTAAGTGAACTAATAAAATTTTTTTTTTTTAAAATATCTTTTGAGAGAGAGAGAGAGCATACCCATGACTGGGGGAGAGGCAGAGAGCCTCAAGCAGAGCTCCTGCTGAGTGCGGAGCCCGCGTGGGGCTTGATCTCAAGACCCTGAGATCATGACCTGAGCTGAAACCAAGAGTCAGACACTTAAAGGACTGAGCCACCCAGGCGCCCCAAATCTCTGTAATTTTTAATACATCTTCTGTACTACCAACACAAAGGTTCCTAATGGATAGATATTTGTATTAGAAGATTGAGAATTTTAAAAGGTAATATATATTAAATGTCTGGAACAAGTAGGAAACAATAAATAGTGCTTCTTATTGCTTGCAGCCAACTTTTAGTAGGAGGATAGAAGGCTGTTATTCTCAACAGTACTTTCTCAAAAGATTTCTTACTCTATGCTGCGGAAATTTGATCTTACCTGTTCTTTCAGTATTCATGGGATGGTGAGGAACTGATCATATTCAACAAACTCAGAGAGATTATTATATAAATAAGAACACTAATTTATCAATTTGTTATTGGAGAAAAGGGATCATCAGGGCTATACCGCTAATGACTTCTTGTCACTGAATCATGTAGAGATCTTAATTTATCTTCAAATAACTTCAAAGTTTAAGAGATCTCAGTCCCTAGT